TACTCGGGGTAACAATGGTATTGTCATATCCATTGATCGGACAAGTTCAACCATCAGTAATAATAATTGGTGGATGATGAGGAGTAGGCTGATACAATGATAAAATAGTGGGTGCCAGTCATGTGAGTGGAGTCTCCTGAGTCAATAATCCATAGTGAAGATGAAGATGCAAAAAAAACGTGTGTACTTAACATGGAAGGATTCAAAAGCAAGACTAAATTGGCCAAGGAATGAGCCATGGTACCACTAGAGCGACATTGTATTTCATACTCGACAAAGGTCAATGTCACTAATCACTCTTAAGTCGTTGTTATTAAGATCGTCAATTTTAAATTTATAATCTAATTTTTGTAGAAACAATCTCTTAATGAATTAGTCAAAAACTAGGTCGAACACAAAGAGAGTTTTGAAATAATTGATGTATATTAATTAATGATCACATTCTGATTTATTTACTCTCTGAAATTCAGCAATCACGAATAGAAAAATTCAATGCACATTGAGAGGAAGATTTTTCTCAATATTTAACCAGCCACCTCATAAATAAATTACAGATGACCAACAAGAATGATTCCCTACTTCCTTCAACGATGTCGACTATTCAAAATCAATAAGGCAAAAGGAAATAGAAGTTCACAAAATTTAGATTGCATTAACTAAGATAAAAGAGATTCAATTACATAAAAGTCAAAGGGACAAAATGAAAATGATTTCTCCTTCTTGTTCTAATAGATGTGGGAAGAGAATGACAACCTCAAGTAGGGGCGTCTTTGGTTGATCCTCTTCTTGTTGCACCAAGGGAGGAGACCAATGATTGTTGCCGATGCTGTCACCACCAAAAGGGGGGGAAGGGACGAGCTCGCCCACCTATGGTGTGCTGTGGGGGGCACCAAGGGAGAGAGGAGGAGCAGGCCGTCCCCATGGTAAGAGAGGGAAGCATCAAAGGAAGAAGGGGAGGATTGAGAGGACTGATTGTGAATGAGGGTCCCAGCCGATGGCTGGTCCTCTTCTGGAATTGTATGTCTTATTGTAGGCGTGTCTCTTATGCCCCTCTCAATATGTAAAATAACAAGTCAGTTTTGCAGTTTCACCTTTTTATGTTCAATAATTTTTTAATAGTCCATGATGAAACTAAGAATATATGTATGCTCATGCTCATGCATCATGATTATTTATTAATCCTCTTTCCTTCAATAACTATTAATCATATATTTCTCCTCTCATTTATCTTGATGCTCTCATCTTAGTAGAAAATAGAAAAATGATACAATTCATAAACCATTATGTGAAAATACATAAGTACAATATTAAATATGTACTCATCATATTCCTATATTACTTAGGCTTTAAATAATAATCTTCTCACCCCTTTAGTATGACGATTGCTCAAATTATCAGTCAACTGAAAAGTTGGAGATGGAACACTAGATAGTGTTAGAGAAGCTAGTGAAGGAGGTAGGAGAGCAGGTTGAGTAAAGTTGGGCTTCTCGAACTATTTCTAACATTTGTCGGACATGTGGTTCTACTTGCCATAGTAAATGTATAAAGGAAAGGAATTGCAGCCTTTCCCTCGCGACGGACGACCACTATCTGATCTCGAAGTAGGAGGATCCCATGATGCTTAAGAAGTGGAGACGATCATTGTCGAAGGAGTAGATGTGCCGCTGATGATAGTTGGAGGACTAACTGTACTCACACAAAGTGCAATAGAGAAAATATGAGAGATATCAGATACTTGGACTTCGAAGAGGATCATTCCACGAATCTGAGAGGTAATCGATGGGTGAAGTCCACTCAAATAGACTCTAGCAAAAAACTTCTGATAATAATGTTCAAATGTCTAGAGGTCAATGGTTGGAGGTGATAGATGGCAAGCTCCTATATCAGGACTTAGAGATGACCAAAATGAATGTGAAGTAAGGAGTTGTCATGCTTGCAAATAAGAAGCAATTCGAAGATCTCGACCGTGTGATTGATATTCGTTTGATTGGCGTACATGTTCTCCAATATCGTCTAGAGTTGTTGTTTAGGGCAAATCTGAGCGAGAGGCTTGGCAATACTCAACTCAATATTTTGAAGCATCTAGGTAAGGATGGCTGAATCGAGTTGAGACCATAAAGTAAACGACGGATCAATGAAGCCGGGCAAATCAATCGACAAGTGGTAGAGACGGTTGTGCGATGTCAAGAAGTGCTCGAATTCGAAGGCCCACGGTATATAATTATGTCCATTGAAGACATATGCCGGTCGAGTGAGAAGCACCATGATAGAGTGTTGTGGAGTAGTTGACATGATCGGAGGAAGAGTAATAGTCGGCTAAAAAACTAGTGGAAGAGACACCTAAGACATCGAGGATTCGCCCACTGGATCTATGGATCAAGACTAGCAGGAGATGAAATGATGCTAGGAGGAGATGTCACCGGAGCTGCACAGAGAGCTAGGAGGCAGCACGGGGGGGTTTGGGCAGTGCCTACAGCTAGTGCACAAGGCACTAGTGGGAGATGATGCCATCAAGTGCGTAGGTGCAACAGTGTGTCAGGCAAGCATGTAAGACAACGCTGGACAAGCACTGAACGAGCATGCAAGACAACACTATAGGAGATTGTGCTAAGAGAGGATAAAGGACGCCGAGATAGGAGAGGAGGCAGAGCAGTGACAATAGAGAAACCTAAGGCTATGATACCATGTTGACAAAAGGAAGAAAAAACTCGAGAATTGATATATTGAAGAAGAGTGCATTAAGTTATATAGAAGATAGAAAGAGAGAGAGAGAGAGAGAGAGAGTAAGAAGTGGAGATAGTAGAGAAAGAATAGAAACATAGAGAGAATAAGTCCAAAATAAGTTTGGTGGGTCTAGTAGGCCTATTCTAACACAATTCATATTGAATGGCTTGTAATAGGAATTAAATAATTAAAAATAAAATGACATAATAGAAGAAAAGGTAATGATTCACAACACAAAGCATGACATGCTTTCAAATGATTTCACACTCAACATCAACTCTTCCAAGAATTTATTGAAATTCAGTATTATTGAAATGATTTAATGTTGGAATTCATGGCTCTAGCCACCAATAATAGCTTCATAATCTATCAATTAATCTCACTACTAACAAGAAAGCATTTTATTTAATAACCAAGCTTTTGATAATAGAAAGAAAACTTTTGCTAAACTTTGGATTTTCATCCTAATAAACAAATCATGATAGTGTACACTAGGTGGATATACTATTAGATTGATTGTTATTTCATATTCTATAGCATAACAACTCAATACCCTTGTGAATACCATATTTTTATAGGTCCTATAATAGTATGAGATATCATGGTTTTACATTTAGTATGGAAAAAAATCATGCCCAAGTCTTGTTCAAAAGTTATGTGATTTCATAAAGAATTTAAGATTAGTCATTCTTAAATGTTTCATATGATATATATAGTAAAAAGTAAAAATAAAATTACATGTTCTATGTTAAAAGTTTACATTTCACTAATGATATATGTTCAAGGGACTAGTTATTCAATCTTCATAGTTAAGCACTAACTCCAATGAATATAACTAAGAGATGAATTCTCACTTAAGTATGATGAATCGTTCAAACATATTTTCAAAGCATTCAATTCCAGAAGGTAAGTTTCACTAAAATCTTAATAAATGTTTTTCTAGGTTTCAGGAAAAAAAATTCTTCCTTTTCATGGATGTAGAGGCTAAGTTTTTTGGTGTGTATGTTAGTTTGCTGCAATTTGGTAGCTAGTACCATGACTCTTTTCTTTCCCCCTTGATAATGTCATAAATGTTATGAAACATAGTTTTTGGTGGTCAGAGGTCTGAACATAGTGATACTGATTTTAATGTTTAACATGTTAATTTTTCACCGAGGGTTAGGAACTCATGGAAAATGGACTTGGGTGAGGGGCTAAATCACAATAAAACCATCAAGCATTAATAAGCATTCTCTTACCATATGTCTCCCTCTATTTTTTAATGATACTTTATATAAATGTAAACTAAAAAATTTGTAAATTTATGTCATGTATTACTTATATAGTTTCCAAAATATAGCATACCTCAAATAAAGCTTTATGTGCAAGGGCTGCTGTTGCTTTCTCATGTTTGCACATATGAAGTCATTTCACTTTCTTGCAATATTTTAATTTAAGATGTTTATAATCTTGGATCTTAGGTTACACTTGCATAAGTTCAGACTGATCATTCCTTTGAAGTCCAAGGAAGAGATTATGTGTATGTTTATTATTTGTATGCAAACAACAAAATCTACTTGGTTCATGTTGAATCAATCCAACAATTGCAATGTCATACAATAGCTCAAAAGGCATTAACATTGACATGAATAATTGAAATTCTGATACCAGAGCTCTGAGGTCATCATGATGCCATTTGAGATTTTTCCAAGTCATAGATTCTATTTTATTATTAATGCAAACCTGGCCCCACAGTCAACCTCTCACCCAAGTACTTAATCCTTTGACTTTCTTCCCTTTTTTGAGAATAACTAAAGCAGAAAGAGATGCCGAAAGGGCAAGCAGGAATTTTAGAAAAATGTTTCTTTGGTGGCTTAGACTAAATATGGTCATCTTTCGGCAATTGTTTTCAACCCTTGGTTCGCTCCCAGCCGCCGATGAGGAGCGCATCCAGCCAGCCCCGTCACGTTCGAGGACCAGCCCTTTACATCCTGCCGTATATCTTGGCCCGCAGTTTATAGAGGTATGGAATTATAATTTTAGTACTTTTTGGGTACATGAACTGTAAAATCTTGTGGAAAACGTCAATGTTTGACTTTTTAACTTTTGTTGACTGAAACCCCCCAACGACTTCTCTAACTTTGAGTTGAAGGGTTGGTCTCTTCTCCAACTCCGCCGTCCTTCTTGGACCCTTCTGGCCCCTTCCTCCTCCCCTTCCGTTTTCCTCCGTTGCTCCCTCTCCCTCTCCCCTTCCCTCTCGGCCCCTTTCCCGCCATCTCTCTCTCTTTCTCTCTGGGATGAGAACATGGGTGAAATTTGTGGTGTCCATGGGGGCGCCCGCCGGTGCAATTCTCCTCGTCCTCTTCTCTGCCATCGCTGTCTGCCGTCACCGCCGGCGCCAGAAGCCCTCCCCCTCCGACGCCTACGACAACAAGCCCCCGCTTAACGCAAAGCCCACCAGGTTGACCCTGAAGGAGGGCATATTCCGCCTCCGCCTCTCCTTGCGGTCCGAAGCCACCGGCCTCGGCTTCCAAAGCACCCACCGAAACCACCGCCACCACCATGACGGCCACCTGCGCCGGCCACGCTCCGATTTCAGCTGGGCAGACCAGCCCCATCTCGCTGCCGATGCGGCGGCGTGCGGCTGGTCTCGGTTCGTCTTCCTGGACCGCGACGAGCCACCGACCCGGCGGGGATCCCTCCTGAGCTCCTGCGTGGCCTGCGAAGTCGGCCGGTCTAACCCGGCGGCGGCGGCGGATTGTGAGATGCCCGTGGGATCGTCGGAATTCATGCAGACTGTCAGGATCTATCCCCACGGCAACGGCTCCGGATTCAGCGGCATCAGGATGAACCTCCCTCTTCCAGGGCCCCAACTAGGCGACGATTCGGCGTTCTTCCCGGCGGAAGCCTACTTTGAGATCATCATCCTCCACCTGCAGCCGTTGTCGCGGCGGCGCCACCAACTCCGGAGGATCGCACAGCGCAAGGGCAGCTGCGGCGACGGCGATCGGCGGAAGCTCATCCACGATAACCCGGCCGCGGTCCTCATCGACGAATCCTCACAAGGCGACGCTGACAGCATTAGTCCGGTCCAAGAACAGGAAGAAGAAGAAGCCGAGGTGGTCGTCTGCCTAGGCCTCACGGAGGGGGGCGGACCGCCGGACAGCCCCCCTGGGAGCTACCCTGGCTCGATCGGATTCAACTCCAGAGGTTGCGTCAACCTCGACGGTAACCAACCCAAAATCATATCATCTTTCGTCAGCGATTATCTATTCACCTGATTGTCAATAAAGATCGCAACTTTCCTAACAATGGCGCCCGCAGGGATCAATCTGGTGTCCGAGTCGGAGAAGAAGACGCAGTGGGGGGCCGTCAACAGGATCATAGGCTGCGGGTTCAACCCAAGAAAGAAGACCGTCTTCTTCACCGTGGACTCCCTCCTCCTCCACGTCGTCCGCTGCAACTCCGACGCGTTCCGCTGCCCCCTCTACCCGGCCATGGCGGCCAACGTCGATGTGGTCGCGTCGGTCAACCTCGGCCAGCGCCCCTTCAAATACGCCCCCGCGAACGCCCGCCGCCTCCCAGCGAAGCCCGCCTTGGCCTCCCCGCTACCTTCTGAGCCCTCTCCCCGCATTGGGTACGACGATAGCGGGGAGCTCTTCTCCATGGCGAGGATACAAGACTCGCTGTGGCTCCCCGGCTCGAGGAAGAGAACCCCGTTGAGCGGCAGCCGACGAACCGCCGCCGGCGACGAGGAGGAAGCCAGGTGGGACTGCAGCGGCGACGCCGAGTCGGATCTCTTTGAGATCTCTCTGACCAAATGAGATTGGTGAGGCATGCCCCGCCGTGAGGTAGAAGAGTACTTGGAGCTTAGTACTACACAATTCATGTACACTCCGTAGCCTGTCCCGATGATACCTTGTTCATAATTCAACCTGTGTAGATCATGTATCACACAATCTCATAGCAAGACTAATTTAATTTAAAAAATTACTCAAACCCGTCTAATTAATTTAGGAATTCTGAAATATCTCTTCATTCTTCCCTCTTGGAGCCGAAGTGTCCGACGAATTTTCATGTTTTTGGTGGATAGGGATTATTCGGTAGGCAATCCATTGTAAAGGCGCATGAGTTTAACACAAATAGTCAGAACTATCGTTGTAACCTTCAAGAGGTCCACAAAATTAGTTGGAGACCTCTTATCCAATACTAAAGATATAGGGAAGTTCTCCGAGACCCACGTATGTTGTCAAAGAACCGTCTGACCCTGGACTGATCAAACGGATATTGTTTCTCAAAATATTTTTCCGATTAATACTAATCATGACCTCCTAGAATTAAATTTGGTCCCTAAAATACGCGAACATGTAAACCATGCAAGGCCATCAAAAAGTTGGGTATAATTGGCAAGAGTAAGATACTTCACCTTTGTTAGTTTGGTTCTATTTAACAAATTAGCTCAGTATGCATATCTCATAGAGAGTGCGCCATAAATGTAGATTTGTGTAACAATAATGGCATTGAAGCATTTAATATAGTCTTAAATCACCAATAATGTTCTTGACATTTAATAGCATTTCTTCAGTATGAGCCATATCCTCAATAATTATAAAATTTCTCCAAATGTGTCACAACTCTTTGAGGCCATAGAGTTATCTCAATGGGGCAGTTGTTTCCTGTTATAAATTCTCTCTCATTTGATCCACTAATGCTATTCATCGATACATTGCTATCTCCAGTCCCTACTAGCATTCATGGTATTTAATTTACAAAGTCCTTCCTACCAATACACATCTATGCTTCAATTAGTAATGTAAAAATATTTTCCATAATTCTTCACGCCTTCCGGTCATACATGGTATTGAATTTGTGAAGCCCCTGTCGTTTGATCTCTTTATCCTTTTCGCCTTTGCAGCCAATTATGTTATCCACATAAGTCATATTTTGTATAAAATCCAACATCAGAGAATAAGCTCTTGTTAACAACTCCAAAGGCTTGAACTAATACTATTTTCTTCAAAAGCGTCATCTTGGTAATGTAGAAGCAATGAATATCAATACCACCATCTTGGTAATACATGCAGGCCATCTATTTCTTCTGACCATTCAAATGATATTAATATTTGTGTTTTTTCTATATTAATGGAATATCATCAATACACTAATATTGGGAAACCTTTTTCATTGCATCTACTTTTGATGATTCTATTAAGAAATTGTAGCTCGATCCTTATATAAGTCCTCTTGAATAATTTTCTGAAAAAAAAAAAACATATTCAGAATGGTCTTACACTAGACTTAGTTCATAAATAGTTGCCTTCTAACCTTCTATCCATTAAAAGTATCGAATTGTATTTTTTTATTATTTTAATGTTTATTATGAGGTGGAATGAAGAGAGCATGGTCAAACATATTTACATGATTTCACAGCACAAAATCCATCTCTTTTGCTAATCAAAATATCTTGGATTTTCACATTATAATATTTTATAATTCTAATCAACAAATCTATTAAAAAAATTGGTATTTTATTCTCATAGAAATGAGGAGACTATCTACATGAATTTAGTAAGTTTCAATAGTTATCTGGAGGGGGGTTGAATTAATGCTTATCTATCAGTACCAACTTTAATATTAACATGTATATCTTGGGTGAGCCTATGTAGTTTTGTCTAACATACAACCTTATATGTATAGTAGTACAACAATCTAGGCTTACTCTACTTTCTATCGACTTCATCCCTCAGTTCTACTAACTCTGTATCAGTAAAAGCATTGAAAACTAAGGCTTCAATCAATCTATGTTCTTGAAACACTCCTACTAGATTCACGATTTGAAGTTAATTCAAGTGTTTTAAACACTCCTTATAAGCTCAAATATCTATCTTGACATGAGTACTAAAAATATTTGCCTTAGTAGTATATCTCTACAATTAGGAACCAGAATAATGATTAAATATCTTCTTGAATTTCTTACTTTCCACATCACCTTTATACTTGCTAAAACTTACCAAATATTACTCTGAATTTAATTTGAAGTCAAAATCATTATTTTAATTCAAAATGTATTCACACATATTTTAATGCTCATGGATCCTTATCAAGTGTGCCTGAATTGAAATCTTAGAATATACACATTAATGATTTAATGGCTACATTATGAGTTTTAAACATAGAGGATATTATAAATCTTAATGGATATTATAACAATTTTTCACCGATCCTTATTTTTTTAGGATTTCAATGTCAAAGAATGAAAAGAAAAGGGAAAGATATAATTTGAAGTTCTCTATAAATACAACTTTTTTATGCAGCTAATTAGTATTGAATTATTATCATCAACTACTCTACAGCTTTAAATTGTGCTAATAATTTTCCAAAGTTATTAAAAGAGATTTTGGGTAGAATTTCAAGTTTCTCTAGTGATAAGAAGACAACAAGTTGAGGAACAAATCTTGATAAAAAAAATAAATTCTCCTCAATCAATTTCAATGGCATCTTCAACATTTAGATAGCTTCTAGATGTGAAGAGAAAGTGAAAAATCAAATGCAATTCAATTCTCTCTTTATCAGATCTTAACTATGATTCACTTTGTCATCAATCTCTGGAAAATATTGTTATTGATTTCTTTCTATTATTTTTTGTGACATAACTAGTGATTGATTTTTTGCTGTTGAAACTAAGGGTGCTGATTCTTATGATTACTTTTGGATTATCTAAAGTTGTGAATCTATAGAGAATTTCACTTTAAATTTCAAAGAGAATTAACTACTTATAATAAGCAGGTGTCTACTAATAAATTAGTGGAAGCCAAAAACTAGCCATTTTTGATAATGTGAAGTAAAAGACTAAACCACAATAAACTTCATGGAATTTGAGTACAAAATTAACAAGAAAACTAAACGAGTGGGACAACAATCTAATCCCACCATGCATCTGTCACCCACACAATTGGACTAGTCAAAATGAAAATAAAATATGATTTAGACAGAAATCAATTTCGCAAACTCCCCATTTGTGCTGCTTCACTCGTTTCTGTCTATCATCTGAAGAAAACTCACTACAGGAAATAGAAACTCCTCTCTTTTCTGTCCCCCTTTCCTTCTTTTCTCCCTTCTGTGTACTTGGATAATGGGCCCTCGATATTGGGCCCAACATTATCAACCAATTATAATTCATCCTTCAAACACTTCAAGGTAATTTTACTTTGATTATATCTAGTCAAAGTAATATTGAAGGTTTATATCTAGTCCTCACTATTAGGAATATATAGAAAAAGGGTTTACTAAGGAAGCTGTGGACTCTAAATTGATAATTGAAAATTTAGTCATTTTTTAATATTTCTAGAAGTAAAAGCCAGTTATTATGAAAGCACCCAAAAGATGAAATTTGAGTAAGGTCTCTATGACACCTACAAGCTAGAATAAATTAAGTGAAATGGGGGTCTAATATACTTACAATTGGAAAATAGATCAAACATGTATAATTATGAACCATATCAATCCTTTTAAAGGGATTCAAGACTTGAAAAAGTGTTCGTGCTTGCTTCATACTTTTAGACTGTTTCTTAAAGCTGAGAGTCTAGTCCAAGAACACATAAATTGAAAGATACAAAGATCAAAACCTAGGTGGATGGGCTGAGGAAGAGATCCGATTAGGTTTCCTCTAATAGTGTGGGCTTTGACCCCTGATGAGACATCTGCCGTTGGATTTGAAGACCATCAGTAAGGGATCGAGGAAACATCGTAATAAAGCTCCTGCTGCCTATTTATTTACACAGGAGCAACTGGAAGCTCACCTTCCGTCCTTCCCACATTGCGTAAGTCTCTCCCTAAAAGCCTTACATAACAGACACCGAAATTACCTTGCAGAGTCTCCCTCTCTCTCTCTCTCTCTCTCTCTCTCTCTCTCTCTCTCTCTCCCCCCAAGCTTTGGCTGATTCGGGCCTCCCACTAGTGAGCGACGGCACTGAGGGCCAGCTTCCTAGCGTTGCTTTCCTTCTTCCTCCTGTGCAGCAGCCTCCGCAGCAAGCTCACGCCACTCCTGGACCTCTTGGGAGCGACGACGATGGCCCCCGTCTCGCTCCCGGTCTTCGCCTTGCTCGGCTCTTTCATCCCGTAGAAGCTGCCCGTCGGCAAGGTCTGAACGCCACCACCGTCCCGCAGGACCTTGCGGCCGTACAGAAGCCCCGCGTTAGGGTTCTTCCCGTCGACCACCACCGGCTTGTCGCCGTCGCCGTCGCCGGCGAATCTCCCGTTCGCTCCTGTAGTGTCGGGCCCCAAGCTCCTGTTGCTGTCGGCCAGAATCCAATCGAGCAGAGCCACCCGCTGGTTTTCCCGGCCGCCCCCGCCGGCGGTGGGGGCGATCACCTGGTCAAAGAGAACTGCGTCCCTCGGAGCAGCCAGGGCCTTGAGCTGCTTCCCCAGATTCATAATCGTCTCCTGGCACTCCGCCAGCTTCTCCGAGGCCAGAGAGATCTCCCAGCCCTGCAAGAAACAACACCATCTTCTTCAGAGCAGCGGTAATGGCAGATTCCGGCGACGGCGGAAGATCGACGTCAACTTACAGTTCCCGGCAACTTCTGTTCTTCCTCCACGGCGGGCTCCTCCTTCCTTATCGCCGCTTTGAGCTTCACCTCTGAGGCATCATCCCTCGGGGGCTGCTCCGACAGCACAGGAGATCCCTGAAGCTCGCCCTCGCTGTGGGACGCGGACCAGTCCAGGTCCTTGAAGCTTCCTTTCGTGGCGGCGACGTCCTGGATGGAGAAGCAGTGGTCGACAACCCATTCCATGGTGGAACCCAGAGCCTCGAAGAACGCCTCTAGATCGGCCTTCTGCTCCAGAAAACCCTTGCAGGTTTCCAGGAAACGCCGTAGGACGGGGCTGAGCTCGGAGGCCTTCCACTGAAACACCCGCGAGACGTAGCAGGTCTCCCCCTCGCCGCCGCCGCCCTCCTTGATCCCTTCGACGAGCTCAGCCAGCCGCCTCACCGCAGCCTCCGGCTTGGGCTTAGACTGGCCGGCGGCGGCCTCCGCCTTAGCCGAGCTAGAGAGAGAACTGTCGAAGCTAGAGAGAGAAGCGAGCGAGACAGGGTCCCCCTCCGAAGCGGCTTTCGAGCTCACGAGCGGCTTGTCTACGCAAACAACGGCGAGCTTCTCCGTCTCCAGGAAGTCGTCCATCAGGCACAGCTCCTCCGACGCGGCGGAGGCCCTCGGCGACGGCGCCGCCGGCTTCCCCTGTCGGAAGTTCTCCAGCTCCGACATCAGCGCGGAGGCCCACGACTCCGCGCAGCTGAGTCCATCCCCATCGCCACCACCGACGCCTGATATTGGGCTGACGTCAGCGCTGCCGCCGCCGGGCCGCCGCCCCTTGGGCAGCTCCTCGAGCTGGGTCTCGGCGCGCGAGAGCTTCGAGGCGGTGCGGGCGCACATTATCCACGCGGACTGCAGCTCCCGGGTCTTCTTCGTCAACGCCTCGCTGAGCATCCTGTTCTCCTCCTCCAGGGCGTTGACTTTATCCACCAGCGGCGCCGCCACCTCCGCCGCCGAGGGCCCGACCGGGGGAGTTGACTTCTTGTTGGAGAGCGACGCCTCGGTCCTCATCTTCGACATAGCGGCGGGGCCTGGAAGCCGCTTCCGGACCATCACCCGCAACCTCTTGCACTCCGCTTCGAGCTCGGCGATCATCTTCACGCTCTCCAGGTGCTTCCTGCGGGCGGCGTCAGCAGACCGGAGACTGAACTCCTTCTCCTCGCTCCTGATCTGGATCTCCTTCTCCAACATGCAGACCTCGTACTTAAGCGAAGCATTCTGTTTCTCCAAGGAACCGAGCTTATCCGCCAGCGAGCTGTTCTTCGCCTCCGCCCAGGAGCTGAGCCGGCTGAGCTCGTCGATCTCCTTCTCCTTCCCCGCCAGGGTTTCCACCAGATTGCCGTTCTCGGAGACCATCTTGGAGAGATGCCCGTTGACTTCCACGAGCCTCTGCTCCAGTTTCCGGTTCCTCTCTCTCTCCATGGAGATCTCCAACTCCGCTTCCCCGCTCGCCCGCTCCTGTTCCTTACGGAGAGATTCCAGCCGGCGGCGGCAGTCCTCCATGGCGGCGCCCATTTCGGAGATCCTCTCCTCCGCCTCGTCGAGCTCCTGCTTGAAGGAGGCGGCCTCCGCCTCCGCTTTCTCCCACCCTGAAGCACCATAGCCATCGGCCTCTACTGTCAGTCGCCGGGAAAGGAGCACCGGCGGCACCAGCGGGGGATTGAGAGGGAAGAGAATGGCCGACCTTCGAGCGCCTCTTCTGCTACTCTCGTGTGCTTCGCGAGGAGGTCGTCCTTGGCATTGGATTCGTCAATGGCAGACGCCAACTTCTCGCCCAAGGTCTTCAAGGATTTCTTTAGTTCTTCCGCCTGCGTCATGCGTCTCAGAGTAAAATCTTCAGGAAGCAGAGGAATCTGCTAGCGGGGTTTTTAGGGTTCATCCTCTCAGGGTTTTACAGGGTCCAAGCATGGTAATCAATTATCTTCTTTTCTTATGAGAAGAATCACCGATTCATAGAACTAGCTGTCTGCTTCCTCTATGAGAATAGCAAGAACAGGGTGTTGCCACCAGAAAAAGTACAGAATCGCCATGACAGGCTCTACTCTGTGGAGAGATTAATCAGGACTAGTTCATGACAGGGATGAGATTTTCGACGAGCTTACCACTTCTTGATTTCCCTTCAGCAGAAGACCAGCCTTGTCATTTCCTTGAGTAGCCTTCTCAGATGATTTCCTCCTCCAGAGCCACATTCGATGATGCTCCATGCTTCGCTCTCTTCTGCATATAGAATCAGAGGAAGACGAAGGCGATTTGATGAGTTCGCGTGAGCATCAAGATGGCGGTTTATTACTACAAATCCGAGAGGGGATCCTTCCCATCCGACGAACATGGCTCCGAAAAAGACGACCATATTGATCCCTACAACAGGTTTCGTATGAACAGACAGCCTCCATCCGCACGAGTTCATCAACAAGAAGCTTGAAGCATCAGACATGGCGAGCAGGGCTCCGTCAGATGACCAAATTTTATCCCAAAACGGGTTCCACGGAAGGCTAGACCCGCAGTTGAGGGAATCGTCCAACTCTCAACGCCGGAAAATGGAAAGAAGTCCACGAGTTTGACCCCGCCCAGAAGGCCTAACCCCTCGGCGATATTAGTCAACTCAAGATGTGGGTCGATAAAACCGTTTTGCAGAGCATTTTTGCGAAAAAGGTGCCTCTTTTTTTTATACAACCCAGAGTTGAATAAAATTTCCGAGCGGAGCTCTGTTCCCCACAACGAATGGGAGGAGAAAAAGCTTGCGGATTAATGGCATGGGCCGCGCGATGGTTTCTGATCGGAAGACGGAGAAGAAGAGCACCCAGTTCAGTCACAGCTTGGACCTTATCTTGGGTGCCTTCTTCGTCCTCCCATGGAGCTCTACGACACAAGTCAATGCAAGATGTGGGTCGATAAAATAGTTTTGCTTAGCATTTTTGCTAGAAAGGTGGCTCATTTATTCAACCCGGAGTTAAATAGAATCTCCATGCGGAGCTCTGTTCCCCACAACTGATGGGAGGAGAAAAAGCATGCGGATTAATGGCATGGACAGCCGGCGGTTTCTGATCGGAAGATCGAGAAGAAGAGCACCCAGTTCAGTAACAGGTTGGACGTCTTCTTCGTCCTCCCATGGAGAAGGCCCTCCTTCTCTCAGGCTTCTTCTTCTTCTTCTTCGAAATCCACAGGAAGAGAACGGAAGAATGCAGGCGTTGTTCAAGCGAAAAGGATGAAGCACAGGTAGCAGGAAATGGCAGCTTGAAGTTCTGGATTTGCTCACCTCGCCATGCGCCGGTAGTGGAACAGTCAGTCGCCGATCACTTCCGAAGCTGCATCTGGGGGGAAGGAAGAGGAGAGGGGCACGGATCTTATGCCGCACAGATCTGAGACCACCACTGGAAAACCACAGGAGGAGACCACAATGCCGCACAGACCTCCCTCTCTCTCTCTCTCTTGCTCTCTCTCTCTCTCGCTCTCTCTCTCTCCTCGATATCTGCCTTCTCTCTCTATTTACGCCTCCTCCCCGTGTTCCTCAAGCTTCCCCCCTCCGGGTGGGGCACGTTTATTATTGCCAAGGGAGAGGACGGCGGTGTTTGTGGATGTGTGCGCAGGAAAGCTGGCTGCTCCCCGGTTAGCTTCCCTCTTTTCCCTTTATCTTTCTACCTTTTATCGCGTTCGGCTCACAGACGAGGAACAGATAAGTAGAGAGAGAAAGAGACTGAGGCATTGTCATGCTCTCTGATCTCCTTATCTCCCCGTCAATATAATTTAAAACCCTGAGGATTTCCATCAATATCTAAAGCCCGGAGGATCAACACCCTCCTGTGTGATTACCCCGCAGTAGCTCTCTTTCTACCCTAACTGGGTGGGGATCTCCCACGCCACTTGTGCAGAGATCTCACAGATGAACAGTCGGGGCGGGCGGCAGCTGTTGGAAGTTCTACCCAGCTTTCCCCTTCTCCCCCCATGTACAGAGCAGTAACTGTCGGCGGTGGTCCCTCGGAGCAGAAGGAAAACGAGCCCCATTCAATGGAAATGCCTGGTTTTGAGAGAGGAGATGGAGGAAGAAGGTAGAAATCTTCCTGTCACATCAACATGTCCTAAAATTCTTCATCTCCTTGTGCGCACCAACACCCAGCTAGCAGAACCCAGGACTGGCCGTGGCTGTCCTCCCAGAGGGTACGATTAGTCCGTATGCTGTAGACTCTTACCAGAATCTCAGACCCTTCACTTAAGAACCCGTCTCGTCACCAACTACCCCACCCCCCCTCCCCTCTCTCTCTCTCCCTCAGAGTCACTCTGCCCTCTCTCTCATCAAAGCAGCTCTCTCTCTCTCAGTCACTCTGCCCTCTTCCTCTTGTCAAAGCAGGCTCCCTTTCATTACACATGAATGATTCCACGCACCATGTCTCCCTCTCTCTCTCTATCTATCTGTATATCTGCATCTCTCTCCATATCCATCTCTCTCTATCTATAAATTTCTGTTTTTTGTATTCACTAGTTGGGTTTGGCCTCTCTATCCCCCACGTGTCCATGGTCCTGTGCCACGTGCCACGGTGAGGAACGATGGAGCTAAGTCGGGTATGCTCACGTTAGCTGGCGGTTTGTCTGGTGTTTTCCTCTTACAAAGCGCCACATTTATCGATTTATCTACATATTACCCCAAATATGGTAAAATTTGTAGACTATCTGAAGATCCGTACCCCCCCTCCCTGTTACCATTCTATTTACACACAAATAAATGGATCCTTGGGGTTAAAGTATCAATAATTTGCGTACCAGGGTTTTATGCCTAAATATCGGATGCGTCCCCCGAGAGCCCGGCCAAATCTTGGGGAGCTGGTAGTTGGGGTGCATAAACATTGGGGAGGTGGTGACACTAGCGGTGGGGTCCTACGTCTGCCGGGTCATTCATACGTGGCAGCGGGGCCCACAAGAAAGTGGCGTCTTTCCCGGAGCTCCTCCCGTTTCTGTCAACAGCGAAATGTCGGTGCCGTCGGAAGGCCGTTCATTTCCGAAAACAGGTAATAGTTGACTTATCATGCATCTTTAGGAGGGGAGAGTGATACTTTTTATGGTTAATAATAGTACAGACAAAGATTTGGAAATATCTATCCTAGAAGATCTTGCCCGAGTTGATGAGGGACGTGCGGGCCCAATATAAGGATCCGAAGTTGCGACCGCATTGGATTCCCTCTCCTCTCTCTCTCTCTCTCTCTCTCTCCCTCTCTCTCTCTTCAGAGGTCCCCCCACGGCGTGGTGAATACGTAGTCACGACGCGGAGAGGATCGTCTCTCCCGCTTTGTCTCCATCGGACGGGGAGAACCATGTGCCCCCTGCTCTGCACTGCTCTGATCTGCTATCGCCTCCCGAGGCCTCTCTGTCGTCTCCCCACCATTCTCTCTCTGTACCTCCTCTCTCTACATCTCCGAACACGTGGTAGCTTCCCTTGACCGTTTCTAGAGTCCCAGAGAGAGAGAGAGAGGCTGTCGGTGGGCGAATGAGGGCCACCCTCCCTGCATGGGGCACTTTCTCTCTCTAGAACTCGACGACTGCCTGAGAGCCCAGATTGAGTCACACTACGAAGAAGGGTTCACAGATAACCGAAGTCGCAAGCAAGTAAAGCAGAGAGAGCGATAGAGAGAGAGATCCAGTATACGTAGACAGACAGGAACAAGAAGGAAGACGGAACGGGTCGGTCAGGGGGCGAGGGGATCGTTGAGGGTGAGGGCCGCGAGCTGGTCGGCGGCGGCGGCGGGCGGTGGTGGCTGGTGGGCAACGTTGCGGAGGACGTCCATGGCTTCGGCGACCTTCGCCTTGAGGGCGTCCGGGGACTCAAGCAGGTGCAGCACCTCCGTCTGGTCCATTTCCAGCAGCATCCCCGTCACCTTCGCTGCCGCGTCGTGCTCCAGCTGCTCCACCAGCGGGTACAGCGACTCCCCCAGCATCTGCTCCCCCACCACCACGCCACAACACTCGGTCACAACAACATTCTCTCTCTCTCTCTCTCTCTCTAAAAGAATAGAAAGAAGAGAAGAGACGTACCGTCCTCTGCTGCTCGGGAGAGGCGTTGGCGAGGGCCGAGGCGAGGGCGCCGATGGGGATGGGCTGGGACACGCCGGCTTCAAGAAAGGGGATGCCGCCGTTCATGGGGATCATCCCCCCGCCGACGCCCCGCATGGGCACCTCCCCCATGCTCCGCCCCTGCGGGTACCGGTACATCCGACCCCTCGGCAACATCTGCACACCCACACACGCACAGAATTAGAGAGAGAAAGAGAGAGAGAGAGAGAGAGGATTGCCACCGCCGCCGCCACCCGAGGATCATCATCAGAATTGGCTGCACGGGGGGGAAGGGGGGCTAAATTGTTATTACCTGCTGCTGGAGGAGGGGCATGGGCTGGTGAGCAGCAGGCGGCATGGATCCAGGGCCCGCGCGGCGCCCGCCGGGGCGCTGCACCTGCTGCTGCCCCTGCTGGACCATCGGGACGAAGAAGTTAGGCATCGGCGCGCCACCGGGCCTCATCCCGGGAACGAGCTGCTGCTGGTAGCCGAAGCCGGGCTGCAAAACACGCCATACAGTATGGGGGGGGGGGGCTCCATCATCAGTCACGTACCAAAACCAGAAGCATTTCAGAGTCTCCCCGTAAGTTGAGGAGAAAGATCAGAAAAATCAGCAAGAAAGAGAACTGCCAACTGAGAAGAAGAGGGCTTCTTAGGTGCCGTCTTCTGGGCAGGCGAGGTGGGAGAGAGAGAGAGAGAGAGAGAGAGAGAGGGAGATTAAATCGCCGGAGATCTCACTGGGTTATTTATATGCAATGTGTATACCTGAGGCGGAATGAGAGCCGGAGGGCCTTGACCATAGAAGATCTGCTGCCCAAGGCCAGGTCCGCCAGGGGGGTACATTGGGACCCTGGGAGCCACAGAAGGCGGCATAGCAACCGGTCGCATTTGGGAGAACTGGGCCTGCGGGGACCGGAATTCCTAGTCAATAACACAGACACCATGATAAAGGTTGGCCAGCCGGGATTCAGCTGGGAGGGGGAAAGAAAACACGCAGACGATCACAATGGGCATCAAAAAGCGGACTGAACCAGCGAAGTAATCTGCATCAGTTTCTATGTAGAAGAAGGATTCTCCATGATAATTATGATGCAGATGAAAGAGCAATACAGCAATCCCACGGATCTTAATCACCAAAATGTTAAGGCCAGAGCATGAATTTCATAGACAAACCATCATGATCGCGGAAATTTTTAGAAGATTAAAGATCACAGAACAACATCTTGGAAGATGGTTATATAAGATGCTAAATATGGATATGAAGATTTTCTGCACAGAAATAAAAATAAATCGATGAGGAAATAGTTAGAGGTTCTAATGTTTAGTGCTGAACGACAAGATCACAAGCTTGTTGGCATAATCCAAATGTTTCCTTCAAGGATTTAACTCAACGGCAGTTTTTTTGAGAAACAAATAAAATGATATAAGACTCCACCAAGGTTCTGATTAGCCACGTCAAAAAGAAATCAACTGAAAGCCTTAGGTACAAAACACCCAAAGCCTCGAGGAATAATGCTGATGCTTATAGGAACTCTGATGGAGGCAGTACTTCCAAAAAGACTCAGTATGCAAAACATGCATTTCCCTTAGCATACGACATGTGGAACAGAAACCCAGATCCTAGTAGCTATGGGCCTCTCCTTTCTTCGATTCATAGGCACATGTAACACTCACGTTCAAAAACTTTTTCGAGGGATAGTTTGAAACACCTCATGGCAGAGGGCACATTTTTTTTTCCTCTTAAGTCACATATTCGTATCTTGAAATACAGCCATGACTTCAATAAAAGCGAGAGACTCGTTTCTTGAATGCTAATGAAGAAGGAAAAACGCAAAAAAAAAAATCGAGATAGTAGAAGCACGGACTGAAGAATTTAACAATCAGCTTATCAAAAGGTGTATTTATGCATAAATGATGCAGAATAAGATGCACAGATTCCAAAAATTACCTGAAGCCTCGCCCTCCGATCTTCCTTGCGCTGGGCAAGTGCCACAAATAGGGGCTTGCTTCCAATCATCTTCCCGTTCATCCCGGTCAACTGTGATTAAAAACTAAGCTAGTTAATGAAGAGTTCAGTTGGATGGTATATTAAAAAGAGAAAAAAAAAAAAGAGGGTGGCAATACATCCAACACTCACAGCTCTATTTGCTTCTTCAGGAGTGGAAAAAGCAACAAAACCAGACCCCCTGCTTACCCCATTAGGATCCCTCATCACCTGTCCAAGAAAAATAAGAGAAAGGTTCTCATTTTGCCTAGATAAGATTTGGCGGTGGATAAATAAGAGAGGAAATCAGTCATGAGACATCGCCAAACCTTGCAAGAAGTGATCCTGCCATACTCAGCGAACAATTCCTTCAGCTTCTCATCATCAACATTATCATCCAAGTTTTTAAGGTACAGGTTCAATCCCTGATACTTGTCCACTGTCTCCTTCATGTTCTGCTCAAATTTTGTTTTCAGTTCTAACTCTCTTTCAGATTTCTTCTGAGCCTTTCCAACATACCACTCCTTGTCATCAAATTTATTCCCATTGAGTTCTTCAACAGCCAGTGCAGCATCATCAGCGTTCTCAAAATTGACAAAACCAAAGCACTTTGATTTACCATCTCCCTCTCTCATGATGACAGAACTCGTAATATTTCCATACTTGCCAAAGATTATCTTAAGATCTTCCTCTGTAGTGGATTCTGAGAGATTTTTGACGAAGACATTAAAAAATTTTGTTCTGTTCGAAGAATTATCTCTCTCCTGTTTCCGGACAAAGGGTCCAACAAACACTTGTTTATCATTAAGAAGCATGCCATTAAGCTTGCTAATAGCATTCTGGGCAGCCTCATCCTGCTCAAACTGAACAAATCCATATCCCTTAGACTGACCTGATGGATCTGTTGCAATCTTGCAAGAAAGAATATTACCAAATACAGAAAAAGTATCATGCAGCGCCTTGTTGTCTATTGCTTTGTCAAGGTTCTGAAACAGAAGTTGAACACAATAGCAGTTGAAAAAATTCATAAACATACAGCAGAAGCGACCCAAGAGAAATAAATCAGCGAAAGGAAATAATATTAGAACCTTGATAAATATGTTGGCAGCACCACTTTTACGGATTGTAGGGTCACGGTTTGAATACATGATCCGAATGGCCTTCCCATTCAGGGGAGTGAAATTCAGCATTTCAAGAGCCTGGGCCGCTGTCCATTCAGTAAAAATAATGATGAAAAACAGCGAAAAATAATGGAGGCAGAATTCAATCATAAAAATACTAAAGACTTTAGCACTGAATCCAACAAGAAAACCTGGTACAATCAATCTCGAATCCTTTAAAACTTCAAACTCATTACATAGAAGAAGATAGTCAAGGAACTAAATTTCGATAGCAAAATATGCTGAAACGCAGCATGCTAGCTACAAAAGAAATCCACATTAGTTCATCCATAAACATATACGGAAGGGAAAAAAATGAGCTCCAATATCCTTCAAGATCTACGAACCTAAAAATCCACATCGTGAATTGATGAGTCAATTTTTCGATTCGGCCTTAAAAATTACTTTAAACATTCGAAAATCACAAATGGGAAAAATCACCAGGATGGCACCCAGTGATCAAAAGATTACCACATGATTCCCCCAAGAAAATGTATTTCAGAGTAAAACCAAAAAGACCAGCATCACTATCCTTCTCTTTACAATTATTACACGATACAACTGAGATTGTGATCCGAGTCAAAGAGAGTTAACAGATTTTATGAGATATTTTAAAATGAAAGCACGTTGATGATTTAAACAACTATGCAAGGTAAATTATAGGACTAGTTCATGCATCATGGAAGTAACAATAAAATGATTAGCATACATCTTAACTGCATTGAAGATAAAAATAGAAACGTGACCTGAGTGTGTGAAGGCTTGTCGATAAGGTGTCCCCAATAGAAAAAAAAACATCCAACACTGAATAAGACCTAAACACAATCCCCATCTTCACCTTCAGTTACTATTAATCAATTGATCTCCAAATGCCAGCAGCACATACCATTAAACAGAAAGGATATAGAACAGTCCGTGAAGACCAGCCAACCAACAGTGATTCCAATATTCTTCCTAAGTCAATGGCCCCATCCCCGAATACCAACCGCAACACAAGAAACAGAAGAACTTGACTCGTAATGGAGCATTACAGGCCAGAAATACTGAATTATCCAGTGGCAACGTCTAATCATAAAGTAGGCGCAAGAAAAAATATAAATAAAATTTACACAAGCTGTTTGGGCAAAGTAATGGGCGAACCTAAACATAAGAGATGAACAAAGGTGATAACTAGCGCTATTCACATCGAAACTAATAAGATACAAGCCCAGTTAGAAGAAACCACCAGACTTACCATCAACGGGGTTGCTAAAGTTGACGTAGGCATACCCGAGTGAACGCCTCGAGGTGATGTCCCTGCACACACGGACCGACACCACCTGCCCGAGCTGGCTGAAAAGGTCGTAGAGCTGTGAATCAGTGACGTTGATCTCGAGGTCGCCGACGTACAGCGACGTCGACTGGAACTGGTTGGCGGGGCCACCCGCGGGGGCAGCTCCACCGTTCGCCGCCACGTTGGTACCAGAGGCCGGAGCCTGTGGCTGCGCCTGAACCTGAGCCATATGCTTCTCCCTCACAAACGAGTCGATTCAAACCCAAAAAGAAGAGTAACGAAGACTCTCTCCGATCTGGTAGGAACGCCGCCTTCTATGCTTCTTTGCCGATTTTTTTTTGGGTTTTTCCCCACTCCTCAGTTATTGATATCAAGAACACAGATTGAAACCCTAAGAAAAACAAATCACGACCAGATTAAGAAGACGACAACAGCAAATCCTTCGCTTCTCGGAGATTTCTATCGATTGGATAAACGACGACGACAACTCTGAATCTGTCAGCGAAATCCTAGGGTTTTCGGCTACAGACTGGAGGATTCTTTTTGGGATTTTTCTGGTAAACTGGCCAATTTTTTCTTCCTTTTTTTCTTTGAATAGGTAATGGGGAGGGAGGAGAAGCAGGTAGAGGAAGGAGGGTTTGGGAGGGCAGCCCGGAACTGCACCGCACCGGAATTCAGACATGCCCGGCGGATTTAAATACTACCGTCCTCTGGAAACCCTAATGCCCCGAAGCTACAGTGAATCCTCCACCGTCCGATCTCAAATCTCTGGATGATATTTACCCCCACGATTTTTCCGTCTCTCTCTCTCTTCCCTCTGGGGCGAGCCGAATATACTGGTGTGGAAAATAGCACTTCAATTTTCAGCTATTTTTTTACCGAACTTTGCCCCAAAATTATCCTTTATTTTTAAAAAATATTCAGATTAATAGAAAATTTAAATATATATATATAATTTAACTACTAAGCAGATACCACTTAAAAAACCTAGTAACCCCGAATTATATTACATCCTTAGAATTTTATTGTATTAAATTTCACGCCACCTAAATTAGTTCATCCTCCAAGAGCAATTCTCCACCCTTCCATCCTTCCTTCCTCCCTTGGCTATTTGACTTCCATACTCTACCGGGTAGTTGGCTGTTTGACTCTAAATCCAAACTTAATAGAAAGAAAAGCTTCACTAAGTGAGATCAAAAGAGGAAAATGTCATTAAAGACATGTTTGATCTCAGTCGATTCACAAGTTGGGTAAATAATATGATTCCATGTCAAGTTGGACATAGATCATTAATGAAACAACAGTCTCATAGCGATTAATGCAAGAATTAAGTAGATCTTTCAATTTACTTCCTTTTAATTGGACGTTTACTAATATCTACACTAAATAGAAATTCATGTAGATAATTCCCATGTAATAAATCTAATGTTTCATTTAGTTATTTGGGTCTTTAAGAATTAATTCTAATTTAAAATATTTTAATATTTATATTTTTGAAGGCTGCTTTTGAACTGGGTATAATTTGGATTTGTAGTCCACGTGACACAAAATAGAGAGAGAGAGAGAGAGAGAGAGAGAGAGAGCATATGAAGATGATGATAATGGGAACATATACAAGAGTAAAGAAGAAAATTTTTAAAGTGAAGTAGATAGTAGAAATAGAAAAAAGAATTTAGTACAAGGAGAGAGGATCATGACGCACTAAGACCCCACTATGAGATAAGATGAGGATGAGAGATAGAGGTAAGCTAGAATGTGGTAAACTTCAGCATGGGAAAATGAACCACTTTTCAAAGACAAGTAAAGGATGAGAGAGAGAGAGAGAGAGATAGGGAAATGTAAAAAATCTATAGACTTGCTCACAATTCTAAGGCAAATATTAGAACACTCCTCAAGTTAGGGGATCATTTTCAATAAATTTAAACTTGAAAATTAGTTCTTCGAAATGAATTTTCCTTAAGAGGTATGTGACCAAAGCTAAATGTGGTCCGAATGATGGTGGATGGTGATCCAAGTAAGATTTGGTTCTAAGTAAGTAGAACTTTGTAAGAATTTATTTGATAATTGAGGGATAGACAAATTTCTTAATTAACTAAATTATAACAAGAATACACTCCCCAAAAATAAATGGTAAATCCATTTTCAAAAATGGAAGCAAGTAAATTCACCTCCATCATCCTTCTAATACTAGGCAACATGAGTTGTAAATCAAGAAAGAAAGATTCCAAAGTTTCAAATGTTTGAAAATTTTCCTTAAAAAAAAAACCCAAGGTGCTGACTTCAATCATCAATGATGGTAAGAAAATGTTTGACACCTGAAATAGAAAAGGGCTCTCAAACCCTCAAACATTACAATGTATTAAACGAAATGACTATTGTTGAATGGGGAGAATTTTTAGGAAATACAAGTTTGATTTGCCTTGCCATGGGTCAAAAGACAATATCACAATGGAACCAACTAAAGATAAGAGCTTAACAAAGTTATTCATTTATTAGATGGATGTTCTAAATGAAAACACCATAGCTTGAGAGGAAGCATTGCTTTTCCAAGTGAGATGCCTATCCATTGCAAACTGTATTGACTCCAATCATCCTCCTTTATATTGAATCTTCATAATTTTAGTTGTTAAGAAAAAAAAGTATATTTAAGAACTTAGAAAGTGAATATTTTTTTGATACAAAATAGCATCCATTATTCATTTTTGAACAAGGTGAGCCTATCAATAGGATTGAAAAGATAAAAAACCATTTGATTGTTTAGAAAAAAATCCATTATTTAGTCTTGAACAAGAAAGTGTTCATAATGCTAACATTAATTACAAAACCAGCCACAAGATCTAGTTCACCTTTGCTGAGCATAAGCATCAACTATTTGAATTGCTCTCTAGTACAGAGTTATTGGATAATTAATTAACATATGAAGTTTTGACGTTGAAAAACATGCATAAAATAAATAAATGGGATTGAATTATGTTCGTTATTAATTACATTTGAAACACACAATAAAATTTCGAACATATACATTATTAATTAAATGTAAATTCATGAATAGCACATAATAATATTATTAAATATCCAAAAACCCTTCAAAGAATGTATTTGAAACTCATATATTGAATTTCAGATTTATAATGAATTTACTGCTCAAAATCATTACCTATGCCCATTAGAAATGTGAGTAATTATGAAATTACAACTAATGGAATGATTTGGATATCAAACTTTATGTGAATCTTAGAAGCAAAATATTAGTATACAAGCTTATCTAATATATTAAATGTCTATGATTTGAAATTATTACTGACTATCATTCTTGATAGATAATTAATAATCGATTCTGCACTATTTAAATGATAATTAAAAATTTCTTGATTTTTTTGAATATTAATTGAAAAATAATTTTTCGATACTGTAATTTTTCAAAGTAATGATATTTTATTATGAAATAATGATTCAATATGTCTAATTCATATTCACATTTTATTTCAAACGATTTAAGATAACTATCAAATTATTACTTTACTAAGAGATGTATTTTTAGTTTTATTTAATGATAACATAGTTAATGAGACATGCTTTAACTAATTGCTTAGGATATATACATTAATGCTTTATGGCTATTTCTACTGGTTATAGAGCTAAAGATACATATACACTAAATATTTTGTTTAGTAGAACCCTAGAATTGATGTTCTTGAAGAATGGTCAAAAGCACGGGGCTTGGCCAATATTTTGATCTATAAAACCCAAAATAATTTAGGATCAAAAGGAAAAGATAAAGAGGATGAGAATAGTTGATCAAATCAAATTATAATCTGATCAATTTGACCCCCTTTTCTTGATACAAATGCATCCTTAAATTTAACATTCATAAATCATTGACTCTTGTTTATTTTTGCTACCTAGAGATATTCCATTTGTTTGTTAAATTGTGTGTCTTTGATGGCAATGATCCTTACAATGTCCTTCTAGTTTGTAAGTTATAAATTGAAAAGGATTTAGTATTCGTGTATGGAAGTAAGGAGGATAAAAGTGCAAGCTTTTTTTATGATTGTGGATGCAGCCCATTAGTTTCGTGAGAACAAAGTAATACCTTTTTTCTTGTAAAATAATTTGGCACATTTGAGGGGGAGAGGGAAGCAAATCAAGAGGAGGATCCGATGCTAAGGAACCCTCCTCGTAGGATCCATCAGTTCATAGCAGGAACTCGTACATGCATGATCTTGTTATAAATAGTAAGATGCACCAAAGTTTGTTCACATTTGGTGTGAGGATAATTGTCCATAAGTTTGTCCCATGTTAAGGATAGTTGAGGTCAAGGAGCAAAGTTGAGAACGAAAACCCACAAATCTTTCCTCTATGAGAATTTTTAGATCATAGTAGGCAAATGGAAAAATGCTGGAGGCGGCCGCATGGATTTGATACCATGCAGAGTACTCTTCTTTCCATCTTCTTCGTGGGGCGTTTTACAGCACATAACTTTGATACAGATCTAGACATTTGCAGTGTAAGTCTACAACCTCATGCGCTGTATTTACCCTGGTGAATTGGATTGGTCCGATCTCATGGTTTAGCCATTTTCTTGCTTCTTTGCAGACCTGTGCATGGATGTATTAGCAAAGCGTGACTTCGGAGAAAAACGCTTCAGTGTTGCAGACGGGCACGTACTGTCCAGCAAGTCGGTGGTTTTCGCAGACTCCTCTCTCTCGCAGGTCTTCCCTCCCTTGGGGAAGATACCAGATACCCAATATTTCCTCTTCTCAATTCCCTCCTTCTGTTGATCGCCCTAAGCGTCTCCGCTCTGAACTGCCTCCATTCCTCTCCCTTTTTACCGCGGCATAATTCGGGGGACAAACCCGCCATCGAGTGAGTTGGCGTGACAAATTCAGGCGCAAACTGTAGCTCACGGAGGGGGACGACGAACGGGATTTGCAAAGGCGAGGTGATGGGATCCCTCCTTGTGGATGGACTTCTCCTGTCCTGTTCCCCTAGTGCGTCTCCCACCGCCTCTTCCGTGGATCGCCCTGCTCTGGCATCGCGATGCCTCTCTCTCTGCTGGGCCGGGTCTCCTCCCTCTTCCGCCTATTTAGCCAGATTCCCACTTTGCACCCGACCTCCTCCTGCTCTGCCCAGGCCCCTGGCGGCCTTCGGCAGGTGCAGTGCGTTTCAGACTGACAACTCCGTGCCGGTAATGTAGATTTTGCGTCACAACGTGGCCGTGCTTTCCTTCTTGTCTAGGTCTTGTTCAAATCTCTAGTGGGAATTAGAACATTGTGCTTGAATCTTGCGGCTTCATAATGCGTTAGCAGAATGGTTTTTATATTGGAATTCTTCGATCGTTTTGTTCTTGTTCTTAACGTGTGAAGAAACTATTAGCATGCGACCGTGATCCCGCTGGGGACCGGAAAATTCTGCAATAACTTATGCATTATTCACAGGAACTGCTCACTTGGCAGGAGAGTAAATACTGACATATACACCTCAGAGGGCTCTCTGTTGATAATGTTAGAAAAAAATGATAATATTTTTTTTCCCTGCTTCTATTGGAGATGCATTCTAATATTATAAAAGGGTCACTATCACCCATGCACTCCTTGGTTTCAGTGTCTACCGTACATTTGAGGCACACAATATTTAAACGGTGCCAACTTGTTGCATAGAATTAGGAGAAGCTGTAGAGATTAGAGGCCTCGCTAGAGGTTTAAATTTATATCTTTCTATCTTGTTTCTTTAATTCGTTCTTAATATTCGGTTCTCTATTCTTCGTTAACAGATCATGCAATTCTCAACTTTGTTTTGATATTGTGTCGAGTACATATAGACATTTGATCGTGCTTGCATTATCATAGTGTTTTTTTTTTGGAAAAGGGACAGGGAAATCAAAATATTTCTCGTAGAGTTTAGTGGGTGCCTGACAGGCAGATGGCTGACTTTTGTTTTTGAGTGGACCTTCTATTTCAAGCGTAGAAGTAGGATGCTATAGATGAATTCGTGAATTGAAAGGTGTCCAAACGAATCCGAGATTTAATAGATGAAGGAAAAATAAGAGGGCTGTGCATATTTTTTTAATGTTGATGAGAGGTTTAAAATGTTGTCTACGTTTTTACTTGTATTCACTTAAATGTAATTTTTTAATGTGGTTTCCTTGCGATTGTATCGCCAGCCATATATTGACTGTTCCCGTTTCTCTATTTATTTTTCCTTGTGCATCTGAAGTCGAATGATGATGTATATACGGTAGGCAGCTTTATGACCAAAAAGGAAGATTTGCGAATTGTAAAGACCTCCACAACCATTGATGAAGGTAAGGGTAGTTTTTCTGTTCATTTCATATTTCAAGATAACCAGCCCACTTTGAGTATGAAGACGCTTCTCCAAATGTCTGCAGCTTTGGAGATTCTTGTGGAGCACAGAATAACTGGGTTGCCGGTAGTGGATGATGACTGGATTTTGGTGTGTATTCATTATTTATTCTATTCTTTTCTCAACAAAATTATTATTTTCAAATTGTGTGAACACTAAGTTGCTAGCGTAAGAGGTACTTATACTGGGTTTTTAGGTTGTGTTTTCTGAAATGCCTAAATTTACTGGCTTTCACATACCAAAAAAGGAAATCTAGTGGATACATTTTAGTGGGTTTTTTTTGGAATTTTGATTGATTTTTATGCTCATTTCATGTAGTCTTCAGAAGGCTGAAGAGATCAGCTTGATTATATGATTTGGGTGTAGTTCTTTAGTTTTCTAATATAACTTATCATAAAATAGGTATATTCTTTTTATTATTTCGGCATTTAATTGTTGAAATCTAATGCCCAAAAACTTCCTGCAAGAGACCATCATATGAGCGGGACGAATTCTTCAGGATTCGTGAGAGTTTTTGCTCTATCAATCTTTAATGCCACAAATTCTAATTTATTGAGATATAAAGGGAACTCTTTTTCTGTACTTGCTTCAATATTGTCTCTTTTCTTTCTGAGCGCAATGGGCTATAATCCCTGGTGTTCAATGAAGCTAAGCGGCTAAGTAGCTTGGATTATTAGTGCCGTCAGAGATTTAACATATGTTTTGGCGCAAACTAGCTACTTAATGGCAGATTTCTAAGATAGTAGAAATGTTGACATCAAAGTGATGCTTAAAGGAGATAGAGAGGTTTGGTGGGTCGACTTCTTTATGATTATTTTGGCATATTAGATTGAATGGGGCAGCTCGGTTGTCAGACACCACTGCTGTTTGTTAGAGAGGGTAGTCATTTGTATATTCTAGTGATGGAATGAATGGCAAGTTAGTCTAATGAGGAAAGAGCTTATTATTGATGTGGGGGAGGGGAGATTCAGGTTGAGATGGGCTGTTTTAGTCAAGTCGTTTTATTTAGGGCATATTTGGGATTACTTCTTGTGGAAGGCTGTTAAAGGAAGGGCTTCCAACAGGAGGCAAGGTTAGTGGTAGTTCTTTCAGGGGAAAAAAAAAGCTTTTCAGAATCAGTAAGAATTGGAGGAGTTTCTGTTTTTGTATATCTTTATGATAAATTTTGTAGGACTGAGGTGATCCCACTTGATTCTGTCAACTTATCCCTTGTTGTTATAAACACTACAGCAGAGGGCAGATGATACCCACACATGTTGGTCTATGCATCATCTTCTGATGACTGCATTGGTGTCCTTGAGAGGTTCAAGGTTGTCAGACGGGGTAGTATTTTTTATGCAGAATGATTAGTCTTGAGGGGAAAAGCTACAGCATATCTCTTCATTCCTATCATTGTGGAAATATAGGCCATTGGAGCGTGACTAGTTCGTTTTTAAGTTGTAGGAAAGGGGGCTAGTTCTTTGGAGAAGTTGGTAGTGAAGATTGGGCTGCTATTTATGGTTCATGGCTAGAGTTCTTAGGTACTCCTGAGGGCTATGTATTTCTTCAAAGTCTGGAATTTGTTCTTCAACTTCTTTTCTCATGTTTTAGGACGTAGTTCTAGTTTACGTTTGCTGATATGACAGTATCTGAATCATTTGTTTAGTATCTGAAAAACTTTGGTCAACATGTGGGATGTTTAATCTGAGTTGAATGAATCAGATTATCTACTCAGTGATCAACCTATATATAGACATGGATAACTTTGAATGGCGCTAATCTCTCTGCAGAAAATATAAGTAAAGGTATTATATAAAAAATGCATAGCGCAGGTTTTTCTTAATTTTAGAAGATTCTAGGTGGCACTGGTGGCTTTGAATCCAAACCAAATATATGGATGGCCTCTGCTAATGCCCAGATCGTTGTGATCTGTACTGAGTGGCGTCTCAATCACAAATGTGTGTTTGGAGTGATCCAGAAATCGAGATTTTCGTTAGGCACTGGTTCCAACTTGAGATTTTTCTTGCTTGAAGAGTTGAGGATGTGCTAGCCAAAGTTCAAAAGGTTGAATTTTTCCTTGCTTCAGCACTATTTAGAATACAAAGGGAAAGGGGATGAATTTTATTTTTTCTGGCGAGGGAGACTTTTCTCGATCACGAATGTGTGTTTGATATGATTAAGACATTGAGATTTTCGTTAAGCACTTGCTTGAGGAGTTAGAGGATGTGCTAACCGAAGTCCAAAAGGTTGAATTTTTTCTTGCTTTGGCACTATTTAGAATACAAAGGAAAAGTGGATGATTTTTTTTTCCTTCTGGCAAGGGAGATTTTTCTGATGCTCTGCTCCTTTTAGAGATGGTGACGTGTCATTTCCATAATTAGCATAGTTGATAGGTTCATATTGGTGGACACCCTTTTGTGGTAGATTGCTGTCTTGAGTTCAAGAGTCATGCTGTGATGGATAAAAGTGCCATTGAACAGTGTGTGTACTTTGTTGGATCTCTGATAAAATGTAGTTTACTTTGCTGTTGAAGAGAAACTGTCAACTGAAAAGATATGAGTTGAGTTTGAGACCACAATAATTACCTATGGTGTCATAAACATGGACTGATATAGAAAAGAAGTAGCTAGGAATGAAGAAATCAAGGTTTGGTGGGGTAGCCAAAGTCTCACATAAAATTTCCTATAACTAGAGCTGCAGGTGAATAATCTCGGAAGGGGGAGTACCGAAGCAGCAGATGAAGTGTGATGTCTTCACTAGGATGGGCATTTATAATCGGGTTTATTAATTTGAGCTAGCTCAGCCTTTCAGTTCTAATGTGGGAATTGGGTAAGGAGATTGAGCATTGTACAGGTCTTGATCAGTATTCTACATCTCTATGTAGATAGAAACACATTTAGCAGTAAAGGGAAATCCATTTTCTAGAAAATATATCTTATTTTTCATGTAGTTGATCCCTTATGATCCTTGAAACAGGTTCTCATATTTTTCTTGTCAGGTATCTCCTGTACCTACGAAACTGGCCTTAGTTTCTCTCATGATTAATGTCTTGTTTTTATGATATTTTGTTTATATTTTTTTTTCAAGTAACAACTTGTTAATTGAAACTGGCCTTAGTTTCTCTAATGATTATCCCTGCAGTATTCTTTGATCATTATGTTTGAAATAAATCTTTCATTTTTATCTTATGTTTGCAAGGAATTTCATCCCTATGATTCTTTTGTCTATAACGACATATTAACCATATAACTTTTTTTGCTTCTTGTTTTCAGGTTGGTGTAGTATCAGACTATGATTTGCTCGCTCTGGACTCCATATCAGGTATTCTCTGGGCATAAAACATATTAGTATTCTATGGTTTTATATTTTTTGGCAGTGTACTATACTATCTTTAAGGTTAAATGTGACACATTTTGCACTGATCATCAAGACTTGTTTCTATATAGTAATTTTTTTTGTAACTTGGGAGAGTAGATAATGCATGGGTATATTTGTATTCTAGCGTTATCATGCCATCCATAGCTGCAGGATTTCTTGTAAAAAGGTGGAGCCTTCTGGTTATCTTTGTACTGCTGCGTGTATGAGTAAAGAGAAAGAGGCTAGGTGTAATGACTCATGCACAAGGTAGGGTGATATGAAAGAAATAAATCAATAAGAAAGCAGAGTTCTTAATGTAAGAAGTTCACAGATGGTTCTCACCAGTGCTTTCAATTATTTAAAAGTGGCCCTGTTACTTAGAGTTGCGCCAATGACTCATGAGGCTTTTATGACTTGAGACATATGATAGTTGATCAAATATATTTGGTTTTGAAAAATAAATTTGGCCTTCAATAATTTGGATTCTTTTTTACTGAAAATGTAGTCTTACTTTGAAGTAGAGAAAGTTTCTCATGCCTATCCCGGATTTGGGACTGGATGGATTCATAACAACATGGCTATCCTGACCCAAGCATTTACAAAGCAGGCACCCAGGATGCCTGTTTCTGTCGTCTTTTTTGTATCAGCCTTGAACACCCAATTCTTGTATTGGGCTACTTTTAGCTACTTGTGACGACTCCATTCCGTTGTAGTAGACTGAACTGCCTTTCCACCATTATAGAGAAAAAATGACAACCTTTTAATTCCAAGTCAGTTTGGTCCTATGTCATTTGTTTTTGCTTAGTTTCAGTTATTTTGATATATACTTTTTACAAGGTTCTGATGTCAGAGCAAACCAAATCAGTAAGTAACTGGTCACTTTCAATCCATTTTGGAGTTAAACAATGTTTTGAAGCTATAATATATTCAAAGAAAAATGGATGGCTCAAATGATGCAGTGGAAATGTTGACTTGATGATGATTTGAGCGAGTTGGCGCAGCCTGAGATGTATAGAGTTGAAATCTTGTCTTTGAATCTATCAAAGACTTGATTTATGTGAAAATTCTTCTCCTTGGGTCCACAAGATGAATAAACCTCAACCCTTGAGTTCACAAGGGCTTGATTATGAGTCCACAAGATCAAAATAATTCTCCTGAATCCACAGAAGATGCTGGAATCCACCAGAAAAGAAATAGAACCTCGAAAGAGGTAAATTTTATGGGATTGATAAAAATAAAACTTGGAATGCCTTGGGAATTATGTTAGAACGCCCCTAAGGAAATGGAGGATTTTGTTAGAACACCCCTAAGGAATATGACCGCCTTTAATAGAATAGGGAGATTATTGGAAATGAACAAAATGTGGGAAATAATAGACGTGAGAATTGAGATTTCGACACATTTAACATGTGTCAAAATCTCTTATTGGGCCATCTCGAATTGAACTTGGGCCGAATTGTCTCTTCATGCATCCTAGGTCTCTAGTCCTCTTGAAGTGGGCTGAAATTGAACTTCTACTCCGTTTGAGCATGAAATTAATAACTTTTCAGCTCCTTAGATGCATATCCTGCTAGTTTTTTCCACTTGGGTCAAAAAACTTTCGTCCTTTTTGATAGGTTTTGATGGGTTATATCATCAAAGATTTTATATCTATGGGATATGAAGCCTGAACATAATTTCTTATTAATTTGGTTCCTTAAGAAGCATCACAGAATGGATGTTTTAGGTTTATTATCGGTGGAAAATATTGTGCTGTAACATTATTTTGTTACATTTTATTCATTTTCAGCTGACTTATTATCCTTTGTCTATTTTTTGATAGACTTGAGATAATGTGTTATTATTATTGCTTTATTTATTTAAGACTATCTATTGATTAGTGCTTTTTGGGTCATTTAAATTTAGATGCTCCCCACTGGTCAAAATCGATATTCATTGCATATTTCTGATGAAGAAATATCCTCGATTAAATTCTATGAAAATGATGTCACAAATAAAATAAATTGCATTTGACACTGGAGCGTGTAAAAGTTTAAATATGAGTCAAAGACATTAGATTATCTAAGTCAATTTATGGGTTTGTAGAAGAAGCTCACTTGATGGTTTATAAGATGAAGCCCATGAGACAGGTTTATAAACCTAAGGCTGTTGGATGATATATGGAATGAAACCTATTTGATAGCTTTCTGGGTCAAAAGCTATGAAATGATTTGTATTGAAGCCCGTCTTTTAAGCTTGTAGGCAATTTCCATTGGATAATCTATGGAATGAACCCCATTTGATAAAATTATTTCATTCTTATCGCTCATCATAATCTTTGAAATCCCTATGGACTCCTCCATGGAAGGTTGTGCGGACCTGATGGTTTCGAGTTGGATCACCAGGCATGAGGCCATTAGATCAATGAGCTCATTTGGTAAAGGTCTTGGCCATTGGACACAAGGTCCACATTAAGCTGATGGTCTATTATTGTTAGGTAGGTTGCCTCAGTAGGCATGAGGTCTGCCTTAGATCAATTGATATATTAACAATAGTTTTGACCATTACAATATGGCCACCGATTAGGACAATTAGGGCACTGCACAATGGTCCAGATGAAACCATATATGCTTTAAATTATGTGCTTTTTGAAGTAGGGTAATATGGGTAGAGCTTGTACTCATCCTTTTCCTTATGTAGACACCTCTCTTCTCCCTCTTTATCTTCTATGTGTATGATCTTTCTCTACTATCTATATGTTCTACCGTTTGTTTTTTTGGCAAATTCGGATCGTCTTTAAGAGAGGGTTGGTGAGGGGGAGGGGGGGGTTTGAAGGACAGAAATGCGATTAGATATTATGAATATAATGGGACATTTCAGTCTTGCACTGAATGGTTGGATCTTCTAAAAAGTACAGTTACACCAGGTCTTCTACTGAAATGGTTGGATCCTCCTGTGCCTTGTTTTTCTTCCTTATGTAGGTATTGGCATGTCAAAATTTGGTAACATAGCTCTATTGGAAAGCACATAGGGGCAAATTGTGAGAAGAAAAATCATATATGGATCCCACCCGAAAAGAATGAAACACAGTTTGATAGACTTCGAGAATAGTAGGAATTGAGAAGAATAAGGAAGAAGTAGAGGAAGCCAGTGGTACTTCTTTTCTATTGTCACCTCATAAGAGGAGTAGAGAAAGAAGAAAATGTCTCCACACCGCTGATATTAGACGTTACCTGGTTATGTATAATACTTGCTTCTCCTTGTCGTATTGTTGCCAGCCAAAGTGAGAGAGGAAAGGATGGCTTCTCACCTGCAATGTTGTGAAGCTTGCTGTCAGGAGAAGAGATGGAAATGAAATGTCTATCAAGAGAAGGGATCGTTGCCACCCTCTACCACTGGTGCTGAGCCTATGAAATTTGAAAGAAGATTGATGCTTTCATACTGACACCATCCCTCCACCAAAGCTAGCGCAAGAAGGAAGAAGAAGAAACCATGCAAGGGAAGCAAAACGGCTGTTCCAAATGTCATCTAAACAGATGGAAGAGGAAGAAAACCTTTTGGGGCTTCCTTGTTTAGATTGGGAGGACAGTCTGTTGAGGACGTATTCGTCCTTGAATAGACAGTAATGTTTGTAAAGCTTGAGGGGATTATTGTACTTTTGGGAAGATCCAGTCGTTTTGGCAAAAGACTGAAATGCTCAAAAGACTCTCTCAGGACCTCTAAAAAAGGGTGTCTGAATTTGCTCAAAAGAAAGGAGAACGAGGAGATAGTAGAGGGATAGGCCTAGATGAAAGACCATAGACATAGGCAAATGATGAGGGAGAAAAGAGCTGCCTACGTTGATGAGGAAGAAAGATGGGGAGACTTTAGTGAGCAAGAAGGTGAGGACCAGTTTTGCCCACCTCACATTACTGAACAAGAAGGTGAGTCATTCAAGCATACACACAATATAGGCTGTTGAAGGATACACCATCAATGATCAATGCATTTTTTTTTCATATCTTTCTTGAAATCTGATGGATATTCATTCGTATGTCTGCCAACTTAGTGTGTTGATGAAGGAAGTGGAAATAGTTTGTGCATTATTTGGGAAAACCTGTTCTGAGAAGTCAGTTATCATGAAGCTCAATTAGTTATCATGAAGCTAAATTATATCAAGTCCTTTCCTCTCCGAGTGTGTTTCTGAAAACCTTTTGAGGTTGGTTAAATTTTTGGTAAAGATTCATTTAGTAACTCACCTTTTTCTTCAGAATCATTATTAGAAGAGCCCATTGAGTCTCTAAAATAATTCCCTACATCAAGAGGACGGTCTCCTGACTCAGTCTGAGCATGGGTGTCTTGCAAACTCTGGCTAGTATTTCTGGTTATCCTGTGGCAATCTAGATGGGAATCTGTTCAATCAACTCTCCCATGTTGGGTTCAGGGTCATGAATCGACTGAGTATTACCCTGACTGACCTAAAGTTGATTCAAGTCTTATCAAGGCATGCTTAGGTCATACCTTGTGGGAGGGCTGCTGTTCAGCTGCTGATATGCTGAATGACTATCGACCTGGCATTGGTCTCCTTAAAACTTATCAAATTTATCCCAGTGTTTCCAATCTAGTTTTCGCGATTCATGGTTTTTGCTGCCGTCATTTGAAAATGAATTGACATACTTTTTCAAAAGAAAAATAGTTAGAATCGCCTCAACACTGATAGCCAGTTTCATCTTAGTTCTCTAGTTTTGCAACAAGGCCATTGCTAGGTTGTTTTTGATGGATGGCCATTCACCTTAATTTAGTCTGAAATTTATGTAATATTAAACACAACTACAATGTTCAAGCAAACTCAGGCATTAATCAAAAGGTTTGAAGGGGATTCCGTTGAAATTTGAGGATACTTAAAAAGAAAAAAACTAATAGAATTTGATATTAGAGGATATAAATAGCTTTGGCTATGATCGGCATAAAACTTCATCAAATTAAATTTTTTTCTGTTAAAAAGTATTTGAAAAATAAGAGAAATAAAAACTAATATTTAAAACAAAAAACGCAAGAATTGTGCAAATCGGTTTGTGTGATTTCTTTTTCATTCAATTTTGATGTTCTGATGCATAAAATGTCCTTATGGACATTTTACATGGAGTATGAATCGAGAATTTGTAGAAAAATGGTACAAGTGCCGTCTATAGAGATTTATTTAAATTAGGACATTTGATTATAAGGGCATCAGGGGTGGACGATCATGCATTCACAACGCCACCTGTAGGAGTGCATTAATAAGCAATAATGAACTGGTGGCAGTCCCCATGTAGGAAAGTGCCAGTACCGGGGATCAGTGCTTGAAGCCTATCAGACGGTAGGAAATTTGAAGTGCCATTTCACAATTTGAATCATAAAAGAAAAACGTTTGGCAAACCTTGGAAGGATTGACCCATAACTTTTTCTCAAGAAGCATAACCAGTGCACAGTAGCAAAAAGAAGGGACGCATGAAAAATGTCTCCCTCGGACTTGCAGACAGGGAAAATGCTACAGAAAAATGTCAACATCTCGTGGGTATCTCTTATAGATTAGATGAAGACGCCTTTTCATGAAGTTAGAAAATCTGTAGGACCATGCAGGTTTCTACTAAGCAAGATAACGTGATAGGGGAGGAGTATATACTTATGACGCAGAATTGCAGAATTTTATCATGTGTAGGCACTTCTTGGCCATCCACACCATAAAAGGAAAAAAACTGAAAGGGGTTCGTCTGTATTTGGCTCTATAGTTGCGAAGGTGACGAAGAAAAGGTTGAAAATGACTGTGCCTGATCATGTGGGAATCACTGGGGAGACTTGCACTACCTATGTTACGAAGGGATAGTGATGGTGACTTTTCATGTAGTATAGGTAAGGATACTCAGTCCAATGGACACAATAGGGGTAAGATATTGCTGGAAGTTATTTTCTTTGATTAGAAATGAAGCTTTTTGCCGGCTATATAGAAATAGGATGTGTTAAGTTCCACAAATTAAAACTATATGAAAGTTGGGAGCATAAGAGTAGTAATAATAGGTAACAAGCATATATTTTGTTGGGGAATTTTGAGAGCCTGAATAGACATTTTATGATTCATCTTACAGTTACAATTTTTTTTTTCCATTATTTAGAGATGGTTATTGATATTTTTCAGTTCCAAAGTTATGGTGATAAGGTAAGAGTTTACCACTATATTGAATTAGAGTCTTTATTGTAGATGCAATGCAAGTACAATGAGGATTGAGGATTTCCTTACAGACAAGTATCTACATCTTCTAATGTTCCAGCTTCACCTAGAATGGTTTTGGTAGTGACTTTCACCATGATTCTATGCACCTAGAATGGCCCCGTTGTCCCCCACTATGGGCTCGTACATCCATACTTTTGGATCTCATCTTGGGACTTCTGAGCAAACTCATACCTTGACCCAGCTTAGACCGCCATTATGGTTTAGTACATCTTTGCTGCCATTCAACTAAGATAGGTCGTATACATTGGTGGCAGTAACTTGAGTTTAGGAACAAAGCAGATTAAGCATCGACTGTGGGTGCATAGCGGACGTTAGGAGCCAATCTTGCTGTTAAATGCGTGAGGACGACTGTGTAGTTGTTATTTATGTATGGGAGGCATTCGACATTCTTCTTCTGCGTCAATATCATCAAATTTCTAGAGGATATTATGTAGTCCTGTATGATTTATTGTTATTCAGCATCAGGTAATCCTGCATGATTTATTATGTCTTTAGAGAAATGGTTCTGGCAGAGGCTAAAATCTGACACTCATTTGTGTATAATTTTCCTCAGGTCATCGGGGAAACGACACCGATTTGTTTCCTGAGGTTAATAGCTCATGGAAAGTAAGCGTTTTAATTCTCCGTTTTCTTATGCTTCTTTCCATTTCTTGTAATATGACTTGATCTGCCCTTTCATGCCAGGAAAATCTTCTTCCTACCCTTGAATTTTTTCTTTAAATGCCATTTTGCCAAGTAGATAATCTGAGCAATAAATTCATGCTGGCTTGTTGTTTTAGAAGGTGGTGTTTATCTTTAGCAATAGCTAGTCACGCGTCTCTCTTCATCCTGTAACTTCTCGATTGACACTTTCCTCTGTAATTCTGCCATAGAAATAGTGACCAGAGACCTCAACGTTCAGATTTTAGTGTTCACCAGGAACCCCACAATTTTATCACGGAATCGGTTATCTTCTGCTTATTTTCGGTTCCATTTGTTGAAATCTTGAAATACTATTTTTTGGTTGTATAAACCAAGGCAAGCTGGTCCTGCTAATCCCTACTCCACATCCACCTTCCTCTTTGATTTTTTTATTATTATCTTTTAAAAATAAAATAAAATTCCCATGTCAAAAATATTTCACCATCATCCACGGAAGAACGCTAGGTTTTGAGGATTCTTTTTCTTATTTTTTTCATTAAACATCAGGAAAATGATCTCTGTTGGAGGAAAAGAGGTAGAGCGAGCAAGAGAGTGGAAGAGCTTCTCCTATGGCCTCGCATTATCAAATAAATATATTTTTTTCCTTTATAGTCGGTCTGGCATCCTCATTAGATATAAGGAATGAAGGATAAGAAAGAAAAACCCGGCTTTACCTTTGAATTGAAATTTTGTGAAATTTAGAAAAACCTGGCTTTACCTTTAAATTGAAAATTTGAGAAATTTAGCTTTAATCCAACCAAATCTCAAGTTGGTACTTATCTGAGCTCGAGGCTGTTTTTCAGCAGTCAAATGCTCATACCCACCCAGTTCGTTCATTCCTTGCATTGCACTACTCCCATTGCAGAGGTGATCTCGTTAGGGAATTTGATCCTTTTTGTCACAATCGGTGCCACCAGCTTGTTCAGAGATATCCTTGGAGGAAACTCCTGGAACTTGATTGAATAATTAGCCGGCAGAAGGTCAAACTCTAGAATAATATTATTCCGATTGGATAGTATTCGATTATTTTCTTTTTTCATGCGGCATCAGGATAATGCCTTAGAGTAGATTGTGAACAAGTCTTGCGTTTGAATCTCTGAAACTCTTGCAGACCTTCAACGAGGTCCAGAGGTTGTTGTCGAAGACGATTGGGAGAGTGGTTGGAGATGTAATGACCTCCACCCCCATCGCCGTCCGCGAGACTACTAATCTCGAGGATGCTGCCAGGTCAACCCCCCTCCCCCTGATTTTCCATTTCTTTCTCTGCGCAAAGTCAACTACTTCTTTTAGTAAAATTCTGCAATGACTTCCTCCACCAGGTTACTTCTGGAAACCAGATATCGCCGGCTCCCCGTTGTTGATGACTCCGGCAAATTGGTAGGGTTTCTGCCACCTCCCTTTCTCTCTCCAGTCATCGCAATCATCATCATCATCTTTTCTGATTGTCGTTCTGATGGATATGACCTTTGACTCTGAAGGTCGGGATAATCACGAGAGGAAATGTGGTGGGAGCTGCGCTCCAGATAAAGCGGGAGATGGAGAGGAGATCACACACGCAATCGTAGAAGATGAGCTCTACAAATACCGATGTGATAAAAATCTTCCATGGCTCTCCAGGCGCTAGATTTTCATGTGGTTGTGGGAAGGGTTGGTGAATGATCCGTAAGATTCTCAAATTTATTTCAACAAGACTCAAACTCATCTTACCAAATGTGCCGCATGGTCAACGTGGATATGCATGGATAGGGTTGGGTGTCGCATGCCCGTCGCTAAGAGACCCCCTCCCCGGATGTCCTTGCTCCCATCTCTCTCTTGATCGTCGTGGCAAGTTTGACTTCCTCTCTCTCTCTCTCTCTCTCGAATCTGGCTACTCGTTGCGCCGAGGAGACAAGGCCTGAGAGCCTTGTCAAGAGCCCGGAAACATCGTCCAACCAGGAACGGCCGGTTAGCGAGGGGTCCAGCTGCGATCACCATCAGGAATCCCTGCGGGAAAAGGAAGGGGAACCCCTGCCTCTCAGTTGGAGAGGGCCGTCGCCATCACCCCTAAGCCGTGGAGATGGGCGGCGGCCGCCGCCTCTCCCGTCCCCTCGGGGGCCCGTCGCCGGCCGCCAGCAGCCGCCCGCGTGGAGGTTCTACGTCGGAGCTCGCTTCACCAAGATGTGACAGTGAGAAGGACGCCGCCGAGATATTCTTTCTCAGCCGATTGGCAAAAAAGTTTCCCACCGCCGTGGGGGTCTCTGTGGATCCGCAGGAGCCCCCGTCAATTTAATGCCGGACCATTCATCCGCGTGGATACTTTCTTCTTGGGGGATCTCTGTGCACTCCCTCTCTCTCGCTCTCTCTCTCTCTCTCTCTCTCTCTCTCTCTCTCTCTCTCTCTCTGGATCTATCTGCCTTGTCTGCCTCTTCAGGGATTCGTGAGCGGAATAAGTACAAGTACAGGTATCAAGGTCGCCCATGGAAAAGTGGAGATATTTCCCAAGAAGGCTGTTTTTGGGATGGAATGTTCATGTGAGTGAGGACAACGAACACACACGCGAAGGCTTAATGCGCCCAGGTTTTATGCATTGGGTTTCAATTACCCAGAGTCAAAATACTCTTCGTCTTTTCCTTTTGGTTGACTTTTGAGGGCCGCTTCTTCACTAGTGGACGTTCATAGACCCTGTAAACTCGATGTCCAGCCTGGTAAGGCACTCGGTCCTCAAAATCAATCTTTAAATTCTAAGATTGGCCGGACCTGCCGTGCTCCTCATCCCACAGTCCTTCATGTGACGTCTCTCTCTCTCTCTCTCTCTATCTCTCTCATGGATAGGCGCACATTGAAGACCGGGTCTATGCTTCACAGGGGTCAACACCCTAGCTTCATTTTGTAGCTTTTCTTCGGACGCCAGAGCCCGACCCGTTGGTGCATCTGATCATCGCGTGAGCTGACTTTAAGAGCAAAAAACCGTTGAATGAGCGCTTATAATGCACATGTTCATAGAGAGCTTAACCCTCGGTGGGAGTCTGTCCACCCTTAGATGATCTAACCGAAGGCAGACGACGACCTTCTCTCACTCTCCCTCTCCCCCTCCCCCCTCTCTCCGGTAAAAGAGCTTCTTTCTCACACCTCATGACTGGGCAGATTCACCCGAGTAGAATGTGTGTAAGAAAGCATCGGGGGCGTAAATTCCTCGTACGTTCCCACTCTCTGCGGGGAAAAGAAGGTCGTCACCGAAGGTGGCGACAACACGAAGGGTACAGCAACTGTGTGGAAGGGTAGCGCGGCGGCGATGGAGCAAGATAACGAGAGACGGGATGCGAGGTCAAGTGAGGAGCAACAGTATTGCTAGGAGATGGAGGGAGCTGTCACTTCGCAACTTGCTGCAGAATATGACCCGACGGCTTCTTGGCAGACGTGGAATCTGTCTCTCCACAAGAGAGAGAGAGAGGGAGAGAGAGAGAGAGAGAGTTTCCATGTGTGGGTGGAAACTTAGGAGCGTGGCCCTTTTAAGATGTCTGGGATGGTACTGCTGTGCGAATGGTTAGCTTACTCGTGATCAGTATCCCAGTGGCGTCATAATAACATGTCTCTGATTCCGTATTTCATGAAAGGATCTTCATCTCTACCGTCGGGAGGGCTCTCGCAGAATATCACTGTCGCCGTCGCAACACCATCACCCTGTGCATGGCGATGGGTGAATGCTCCCCGTCTGTCCACATGTCTCCTCTCTCTCTCTCTCACTCTCTCTTTCTCTCTCATCCTCCACTCTTGTTTTCCCATTTAATGTTATTGAGGGGTCGAGAGGGACGCGATTCCGTTCTCGCTCAAGCTATTTATTTCTCCTGTCTGGCCATCTGGTCTTCCTACTTTCTCTCTCTTGAGGGTGGTACCTCAATCTTCATTTCGTATGTTACGTTGCTGTCCGTGGAGGGAGGGGTTGACAGATGCGTGTGGAAGTGAATGATGATATCATTGCACTAAAATAGGCGCGTGTTAAATTGGTCCCTCATTTCTCTCTCCCTTGTCGTCCTCATTCTAATGGGCTTTACAGCGTCGGCAGGGGATGAGAGAAAAAGAGGGAGAGAGAGAGAGAGAGAGAGAGAGAGAGAGAGAGAGAGAGAGAGAGAGAGAGAGAGAGAGAGAGAGAGATTCCAAAGAACGGATTAGGTAGGTGCCCAAAGGAACCGCATTATGGGAGCAAACTTACGCCGCCAGTTTGGAGATTATAAAGAAGGCAACTGTCCCGCATTTATACTATAAGCGTCTTGTGTGGGTCAAGCAAGGAAAGTCCACGGGCTATCATTTACACGCATGCCGAATATATTGGTGGAAGACGACGTGCTCGAGCTTTCTTCTCTCTTAACAAAGAACCCAGTCTTCCAGCTGGTTCCGTGATCAGGATTGTAGATTGTCTCCTTGCCTTGGTGGGCGATGCCATGTGTGGGAGGAGACATGCCCCCCTTCAGCTGTCCAAGTCAATGCTATTAAACGTATCGATACATATCTATATACACAGCCATAGACGTTGAAAGAGAGGGGGAGGGGACACAGAGAGAGAGAGCCGCGGGGCGGTGCCACTAGAGCTACCAGACGGCTGTTGGAAGAGATGAAGGCATTTATAATACGAGACCCACTTGGAAATAAATATACATGTGAATGGGTGCGAGGAATAGAGTGTACGGTTGCTGTGGTCCAAAGGTAAAGAGGAAGCCTTGAATGAATGTCGAGTGTCTTTCCATCATCAGGGTTCTACAGACGAGTCCAAGATTTCCGATTAACCTCAACGGAAAGCCTCTCCCTTTTATCGACTGACTTTCCGATTACACAGTGCTCTCTGAATGTGCGTCCTCAGGTCTACGGATGAGGGGGGGGGGCTAAGTTTCTATTTTGTTCAGCCAAAGTCAACGGTACGACGCCTAGTTCTTCCTCAAGTCAGACCTCATTGGGTCATCCTCAAGGTGTCGGCGCCTCGTTGGATCCAAGTATTGATCCCAATTCAGAAAGTAATGGCAACCAGCGAGGTGTTCACCACAAAGCTTTAGTTACGATTAATGACCATAGCATCTCTGGAGCATGAGGATGAGGAATAAACTTAGAATCCAATGAAGTGGAGGGAGTCCATTCTTACGGTCGTTTTTCTGAGCAAACCCGCAAGAAGACGACGGCTCAGTGACGGGATGAACATGCGCGGTCATGGCAGTCCTGTTTGGGGGAATCGGCAAGACGATCTTATGGTGGCCCCATCCTTGGATTTCCTCTTCGATGAAGTTTTCTTGTTGAGGGACCGCGGTGTACTGTTCACGACACCTGCCAAAAATACTTTATGGTAGGTTGACTTGGAACTTGTCTTTCAATACGTCCGTCCGTCCCCTCCCCCCCCGTCCCCGTCCTCTCTCTCTCTCTCTCTCTCTCTCTCTCTCTCTCTCTCTTTCTCCTCCCTCTCTGTTTCTCCGTATCTATCTATCTATCTATCTATCTATCGATATATATTTTACATACACATGATGTATATTCGTTTATGTTGAAGCATAGTCTTCTTTATGACGCGTTCTTCTAGGGCTCAGTTCCATACCACTCAATCTCCCTCCCTCTCTCTCTCTCTCTCTCTCTCTCTCTCTCTCTCTCTCTCTCTCTCTCTCTCTCTCTCTCCCTCTCTACGTCAATATTGTCTTCCAGAGGAAGGGCTCTGGGTTAGCCGGACTGCGGATGACGAATAGCGGGGGTCACTGGTCATCTGTTTCCTTGCCTCTGTGCTGTCGAGTACCGTGTATCACAACCGTCTGACGTTTTCCCTCTGCCTGGTCCGAACTCGACGGAGGCCCATCACCCATGGCATGCAGATTATTATTATTATCTTAGAATTGATCCACAGTCTCTCATCCCTCTGCTGTTGAAGGAGGATCTCTAGATTTCCTAAGATGAAGTCACATGAACTTCCGCTGTGCTCCCCATCTTCCTCTTCCCTTTCGGATCGATCTCTGCTTAGGGTTTCGCCGTGAGAAAGATTCTCAAAGCGACGTTTGCCAACTTGCCACATCTTGGGGTTTAGAGAGAGAAAGCTGGGGGGGCAACAGCTGGATGGCGATGATGCCAAGGAGGGAAGAATCGTCGACAGTGAGGTGTGGAGGGTTTGAGGCCTTTGCTTTGGAGGTGTGCGGTCATGTCCTCGGAAAAGCCAGGGGAAAGCGGCGGAAGAGACGCCTGCTGGCTGGTCTGTCCCCTGCCCAGAATCACTAAGCGAGAAGAGATAGAGGAGGCCCTGGGGGACTGCTCGCCGAGGGAAAGAGGGGAGACCGGAGGGCATGGCTTTGCATGGAAAAGGGAAGGGAAGGAGGCGAGAAGGCGGAAAGGAGAAAGGAAGGAAGGGAGAGGAGCCTGCCCGCTGGGAAGTCATCCATCACAATTGAGTCGGACTCCTCGACGTCTTCTCCCCCTCTTCTGTTCGGTGGGTTCGATAATACACATGCGTGGGTACCAAGCACAGACAAGCTCAGTCACACCAGACCTGACTCTGAGAGAGAGAGAGAGAGAGAGAGAGAGCATGGCGCTGGCACGGTAAAGCATCTGTCTAGTTGAACCATAA